CGATCTCGAGAGCGTTGCTTTAACCCACCTTCGCCGTCTCCTCCAGCGGCCCCTCAGCCAGGAACTTGGAGATGAGGAAGTACAGCTCTGCAAGATAGGGAATTTCACGGGTTTTAGTGCAACAAGTTGTTGGAAACGCACTCGCCAGGAGTCGCCAAAATGGCATAAATATCTTGTAAAAGGGGCCCGTGCAATTCGCTTGGCCAAACGCAGGCGAAAAAACGCAGCCATTCGTATTCGAAGGGCGAGAGAGGCACAGACACACATTTCACAAAGTCAGGGGGGCTGCCTTTCGGGGGCCCCGTTTGGGCATGCCCGCGGCTCCCTCGGGCGGTACGCACCTGGCCTTATCGCATCACCGGAACTGGGCTGTCTAGTTTCCATTATTCATTGCGAATTGAGGCTCCGATTATGACAAAATTGCAGTTGCTTTCTTCTAAAATTCTTTTCGCAGCTTCTTCTTCCCTTGTGACACTCGATTGCCATTCGCTGCGAACGGCTCGCGCAGGCGTATCGATAGTTTGGGACTGGGAGCTCACGAGCTGACTATCGATTTGAATTTGAATTTCTGGATGAAAGGCATTTCATATGGTTCTTTTCTAGTCTTCTTGAAAATAATTTGTTATTCTAAACTAAACAAATAGCTAGACTTCTAAAGGTGATAGGGGTTTATTTAATGAACGAAATTATGTAAGAAAGCACATGTTTTTTAATTCAACGTTTAACAAATGGAATAAGTAAACAAAACATCCTTGTTGGCTTTTATTATAGGTCCCCCATTTTCTAAAGAAATAGCTTATTACATACAAGTTTCATGATGTGGCAATTAAATGAATAAGAATAAATAATTTGTTTCAATTTTTAAATTTGCCCCAATGGTATATCGATTATTTTTGACTACTATAGTTATCCATTCGGGGCGAATGGCAAGGACTATTTTCAAAAATTTGTATTAAAATCTGCTTGAAATTAAAAAAAAAAACAATTAATGAAATTGATTAATTTTAAACTATTCAAACGATCTGCTAGAAAAGTACTAATAAACAATTTGAACTCTAATTAGAATACCCCATATGTGGACGGCCCACCACTAGTTTTGGATATCGGAGCAGCTGCGATAATTATTTTTTGGGAGATTTTGCCATTTTCGCATGTAACAAAAAAAGTAGAATTAGCCAACAAATAGACGTCAATAGATAAATGCCCCGAGAAACGACTTCTACAACGGATAGAGAATCAAGCGAACATGGAGTGCAATCTGGGGAGCGAGATTGGCCAGAAGATGCGCGTAAGTTGACTGGGGAAAATCAATGAACTCGTAATGCCCATTGAAGATTACCCCCAAAATGAATGTTTTTATATCCCTTTAATAGAGTGCCGTCAAGGCGAAGCTGCTGGAACTGGGGACAGGAGGATCATCTGGTTTCATAGACGACGAATTGCCGGACTACGTGATGGTCATGGTGGCCAACAAACGTACGAAACAACAGATGAACGCGGAGCTGAATCTGTTTCTGGGCGATCAGACCGATCTCTTCGTCACATGGCTGCACGAGGTACTGCAGAAGCTCCAGGAGGTCACACTTCCCACATCCAGTGGTAAAGGAATAGCCCCTTCTTCGTAGTTCATCCATTAACTCCCATTTATTTCAGCTTCCAGCAAGAAGCGAAAGTCTCGTGGCCAAGGAGAGCCTACCAAAACCAAGGAGAAGGAAAAGGAAAAGGACAAAAAGGGTTCCAGAAAGGATAAGAGGGCAAGAGGAGAGCTGTCGGAGCCACAGCCGAGTTCCACGGATGCAATGCCCGTCATCACCTCCATCACAGATGTCTTTGCCGAAGAGCTACTGGAAAAGGCCAAGAAAACCATGGACATCGATATTAGTGCCAAAGACGAGATACTGCACAAAAAGAAGAAGCGCACATCGATCGAAAGTGTAGAGACATCGCTAACAAAGAGCAGGACTTGCCCGCCGTCTCCGAGATTAGCTCCACAACCAGCGGTGTCAATCGGCAGAAGGATCTCGCCGAACTGGCCGAAATCCAAAAGAAGATTCATGCCGCCAAGAAGCATTTACGTCAGATTGGCGAAATCGGGGACGAGAGCGACGAAGACGATGAGGATCTTTTGAACCTGACTGCCCAGGACGAGTCGGTGGACCAGGAGCCCGAGGATGAGCCGCCGCAGATAGAGGCGCCACCAAGAAAAGCCAAGAGTCCCATTGTTTTTAACAGACGCGAGAAGACACCCGAAAGGCGTCCAGAGGCTGAGCCAGAGATTGATTCCCGTCAGGAAGCGGCCTCGGAGGAGACAAGTCCCAAAAGGGATATGGCGACTGAGAAATCCAAGGAAGACCGCTCTGAGCGGAGATCCGTGCACGATCGTCTGGGTTCCAAGTCCCAGCAGCCGGCAGAGCGCCCGCAGCGCAGCCAAAAGGAGCTCTATGTACCGGCCCATCGGCGACGCAGTGAGCCCGAGGCTAGCAAGGAGCGGAGTCAGCGAGAGCGCTCCCGGGAACGACGTTCTAGCCGTGAAACCTCGAGGGACACCAACCGGAATCACCGCCAGCGTCGTTCGCCCAGTCCAGAGGCTCCCAGTACCAAGCAACGCATTGGTTCCCGGGTAATTGTGGCCGTGAACAAGCCTCCAGAGCCGTCGGACGATGAGGATATGGCCGATAAGCCAGTGAACTCCGTAATCAAGATCAAGCCCAGGCCGCAAGTTTCTCCCAGACGGCAGGCCTGTAAGAACCTCCTGCTGCGAGCTGTGGCCGATGCCCAGCGCTCCACAATTCTGGTTAAGACACCATCGAAAAAGGAGACTGAAGAAGTGGGTAAGATAAGCAGCTCTCTTGGCAAGCGCAAGTCAATGGATAAGAATGATAGGGTCCCGGAGCGCGATCGCGAAAGGGAACGAGGCAAGCGGAGTGCACCCGGCAACGAACTCTTTCGGCGCACCACTCGGGAGTTGGTGGTCAATGTGACGCAGAGGGATGGCAAGCGTACACGGAGATCCAACGAGAGTCGCGCCGAGATCAAGGTGGTGGAGGAAGAATATACGCCTACTTTGTTGACTGAGCCAATCGAATCGTATGTGCCGCAGCTGCTGACCAATGTGGATGAATTGGATTTGCACATCAGCTCCATGACGAGCCAAGTCCCAGTTCCGGAGCCCTCAAGACCCAGTTTGTGGTCACGTTAAACGGCGACAAAGCACTCGGAGGAAACAACGGCAAGGGAGGCGCCTATCGCAATAGGCCGAGCAACTCACGAAGGCGATCCTCCTCGCCAGTGTCCACGCCACAAGTGTCCTCCTCCAGCGCTGAGCCGACGTCCACGACGGCGGACAAGCGACGTCGATCGAATCGGGACAGGAGCTTCTCGCGATCGCCAACACAGAGTAGTGGCTCTCCCTCCCTGCAAACGACACGGAGTCTCAATCGCAGCGAGGTGCTCCGGCAGCCACAGGAGATCAAAAAGATCATCATTAAGAATGACACCGATGAGGATGATGAAATGCACGGTTCACCGAAAAAACGATCGCCCAATAAACGCCAACAAGCAGCGTCAGCTACCACCTCGGCCAATGGCCACAAGGACAATAAGGATAAAGCTCCTATTGAGGATGGCTCCACAACCCCCCACTGCCGGCCAAACCAAAGCAGCGGGCGGAGAAGAGACCTTCCAGCAAGGAGAAACATATAAGATCTAGTTCAGTGGAGGCGCCAGCGGGAGCCACGTCCGCCGGCGCCTCAATTAGCACTTCCACAGCTACCAAAGCCAAGCACACGCCCATACGCTTCACACTAAAGAACGAGGACGAGCCGAGTGCAAATAAAAAGCGTCGTTCCGGCAGCCGAGAACGCGATGCAGTGGGCCCGGAGAAACGCAGAGTACCCATACGCAATGCGGAGGACAGGAAGTACGACAACCTGCCTGCATGTAAGCATAATTCATTTTAATTGAAACTATTACTAAGCACTATTTTTAACCTATTAGTAAGCGCGGTTAGCGTGGATTCCACCGTGCTGAAGGTGAACAAACCCAAGGAGCGCTGCAAATACCATCCTAACTGCACGAAGCAGTTCTGCGAATTCTACCATCCGACGGCGCCCTGCAAATCCTTCCCCAACTGCAAGTTCGCGGACAAGTGCATGTACTCGCATCCCAAGTGCAAGTTCGATTTGGCCTGCATGAGCATCGACTGCAACTACGCCCACAGCGGTCAAAGGGATCTTAGTCATGTTCAGCTGGCGGCTCCTCCTCTATGTAAGTTATAACTATTATATTTCTTGTGCCCATTTATTAACTCTCCCTCTACTTCCATTCGATAGCCTCTCACGTCATACCCGTGCAGAACTACAAGTCGATATCGGCTCCTGTGACCTCTACGACGGCGACTACGATGTGCAAGTACTACCCCAACTGTTCCAAGTTGGGGTGCACCTTTTATCACCCAAAACCCTGCCGGTTTGGCAAGAACTGCGTGAACAAGCTGAGTGTATTTTCTACCATCCGGAGATGCAGAGCAAATTCAAGTGGGTGGCATCTTTGGGCTGAACTATCCAATATACTATGCGTTGAAACGATATTTAGCAAATGTACTCGTGACTCCCGGAAATCGGCCACTATTCGATACCAATGTCTTTCAATTGTATGATTAGGCAAGCATGGAGTTTTTTTCTTCTTTTTTTATACACTGAGTTGTATACCTATTTAATCTGGATTTTTATTTGCATTCATCCTATTGCTTATAATTATTAACTTTTATATTAGTCATTAGCAGCTCTCTCACTGAAATGATAAACCAAACTAAAGTTTGTTGTTCATGCGGATTTGTTTGCATTCAAACCATAAAGTACACGTCATGCTAAAGTTGACGAATAAATTTAGCAATAGTTGCTACGAATTGGAAAAAGGATGGATTAGATTTTATTACTATCTACGGGGTGGCTTTAACTGGGTAAGCCTGATATTCAAATGCCAAATAACTGGACAATCAATTGGAAAAAAGTCGAAATATTTAATATTTATTATATAGTACAGTCTCTTAAGTTTACGCTTAGAAATTCTAGAGCAAAATATGTCTTTTATTTGATTTACTTAATCAATAGTTTCTCAAGTTCTTTCTGGTTGTCATTGCTTTTCGTTACTATGCATTTTTTTGTTATAAGGCCACATTTACTGATATATATACTCGCGTATATATAGGCATATAGGATTTTCGGTTTTTTGATATCGTATATAGCTCAGCTAATTTAGTTTAAGAGTCGGCAAACAATCCTATTTACAAAAATACTCGTACAATACATATTTGAAGGGCTTCCCTGCGGAATGTGAAGGGGGTGAATCGGTGACGGAGCTCAACTTTGTTCGCAGCTTTAGGATTACATATACGAGAAATCGAATACTGAATCTAAACTATCGGAACGTAACTACATAACGACTATAGGGCGGTACGTCTGTCATCTAAACTACTAGAATAAATAGACAACGGCATTATTAACTAACTAAAGCGTAGGCAGGGATTCGGGGGCGAGTCGAGGTGGAAGCCTGGCTGCTGCTGCTACTGCTGCTGTTGCTTTGAGCACCTTAAGATGTAAACCGTAACTAGGGGCGAACTTAGTACAAAACATTGCGTTACTCCTACAGCTAGGTGTATATGGGCGGATTTAAAAATATCTTTTGTTTGCTTTGCTAATCGTCGCTCTGGCTCAAAACTCAAAACTGAAAACTAAATAAGTCGCTCTTCCGGCGGTGGCTTTAGCACGTTGTCCATTTCCAGCCTCGGGTTGCAGTACTCCTGGGCGCTGGGGCTGTAGGTGCCCCTGGTGGCCCGCTTGTTCCTGGCCATTACCAGGAAGGTGCCCAGCAGGGCTCCCGCGATGAGCAGCAGCACCACCACCACGGGAATAACAATGATGGCGATGTCTGTCGTCGAGGGTCCATCTTCCTTGGCCGTGATCTGAAATGACATATGATATTAGGTTTTCTTCTGATTACAAATTTATTTGATCTCTAACTCACCGGTGCCGTGCAGTTCTTGCCCGCGAATCCTCCGTGCACTCGCAGTAGTAGTCTGGCTTGGCGCCACAGGACTCTACGCAGCGTCCGCCGTTGGAACAGAGATCCGTGGCGTTGCAGGGATCCGTGAAGTTGCAGTAGGCGCCGCAATAGGGCTTCTGGCAGATGCACTGGAAGGAACCGGGTTGTTGAAGCACCGACCCAATCCGCCACAATAATCGCCGTCCAAGCTGCACTCGTCGATGTCGTTTTCACAGCGAACGCCCTCGAATCCGGTGCCTTGGCATTCGCACTCGTACCTGCCCACGAGATCCTTGCACTGGCCTCCGTTCTGGCAGGGATTCGATTCGCACTCGTTGATGTCCTGCTCGCACAGACGACCTGTGTAGCCCAGGCTGCACTTGCACATGGGAGCCTGAGAACGGGAATGTGTTTGCTTAAGTAAATACTCCACAAGGGTTTCCAGTTCTACGGTACTTACCATCCTGTGGTCAGACAGAGGCCACCATTATCGCAGGGCGTCAGTTCACAGAAGGGAATATCGCAAAGTGGGCCCTCGAAACCGGGAACGCAGGTGCAGGTGAAGTTGTTGCCAGTCGAAGCATCTGTATAAATTAAGATATACGAATTAGTAATCTTTAATCATGACAACTTAGTAACTTATACTTACTAAATCCATTCTGGCAGGTGGATCCGTTCCTGCACGGCTCGTTCTCGCAAGTCATCTGCTTGAGCACATCGCACTGGGGACCAGTGTAATCCTCCGGGCAGTCGCACAAGTACGCGGCGATCAGATCCGTGCAGTTGCCACCATTGTGGCAGGGCTGATCCGCACACTCGTCAATGTTTTGCTCGCAGTGCTGACCCTCGAATCCTGGCTGGCACTCGCAATAGAACGCCGCCACCTGGTTGATGCAGGTTCCATTGTTCATACACTCCGTGTTCAGGCACTCGTCGATGTCCGTGCCGCAATCATCGCCCTCGAATCCAGCCTGGCAGGTGCAGGCGTACTCATCCGACGGAGCCTGGCAGAAGCCGGCGTTCTTGCAGTCCGACTGGAAGCACAGAATGCAGCCCTCCTCCGGACGCGTGGTGTTCAGTCGAAATTGGGCTTTAGCTGCACTGAAACGTTTTCGGTGCGCGGATATAGCTCGACATTGGAGAAGTAGGGCAGCAGGAGATCACCCACCCTCGCCTCGCCCACACAGCCCTTGAACTGGGAGCCCTGCTGGGCGGACAGAGTGGATCCTCGAGCTTGCCGGGATTCCGGCATGCCACCCAGATAAACCTGAGTGCTGGAGGCGATCAGCGACTGGAAGGCCGCTTGGTCAATATCCGTGGAGAAAGCTGGCGCCGGATCCACCATCGATTCCCAGCCCTTCCAGCCGCCCTCTAATTTGCCATTGTGTGCCCTCAGGTAAATGCGGCTCCACTCTCCATCCGTGTTCTCCTTTTCGAAGCGAGCGGACTCGCCGAAATGTAAGGCGCTGAGCTTCCAGGTGATGGTCACTCGACCTCCGTTCACACCAATCTCAAAGAATCCATCCACATTGTCGATGTACAGCAGAGTACCGCCAGCACGCGTGCGGAAGGCTATATCGATGACCGGTTGAGGGTCTGCTTGGGAGCCGCTTCACCCACGATCTCCTCTGGCGGTGGCTCTTGGAAATAGAAGAAGGCCAGCGGGGAGCGTTCCTGACCTGTAAACGTGATGTTGGTCAGACACTCGTAGCCATCGTCCAGATTTTGGCACACGCTCTGGCCCGGACAGGTGACCAGTTGGCAGAACTCGATTTCCTGGCAATCCTTGCCCTTGTAGCCATTGGGGCACTTGCAGCTGTAGTCGTTCCATGTGTTCCTGCACTCCGCATTGTGGCGGCAGGGATTCTTCCGGCACAGGTCATCAGACACCTCGCCGGGCAACACGGAGGCGCGATCAATGGTCACGGCGCCCAGCGGTTTGGCATTTACTTGGACGTCCGTGACATTCAACGAATACATTCCACAATCAGGTTGAGGGAGCCGTTGCTCACCTTCACGTCCTGAATAATGCCCTTGAAGTAGTCCCTGCTGTCGTCCGCCTCCTTGGGTACCGTGGTGTCCTCGATGGGTACTCCTGCTCCCGGTACTGCCGCCAAACCCGGCTCCGTGGTCGCTCCCAGCAGAGACTCGCGTGTGGGTGCAGGTCCGCCCAAGTAGAGCACCTGTGCGTCCAGCAGACCCGTCGTCGACAGCGTCTTCCGGAAGTACTCAGTGCCATTGAGCTTGACCTGCACGAGCGTCTGGTTGCGCACCACCTCGATCAGGTGGTTGTAGCCGTTGTCCAGCTTTGGCCACCGACAGTGTAGGCCTCTGGAGTACCACTAATTGCATCTTCACCAGCAGCTCCCGCCATGCAGTTGGCCGCCACATAGGAGTCGCCGATATCTGAGAGAGTATAATAATATGGTAAATATGCTCCTAATTATGATAAATTTTACTACTAACTTTTAGTGGGCGCCTTTCGCGGATCGGTTCCCAAGTAAAAGACTTGACCAGTGGGCTCGCGGGTTCGAATGAACATGGAAATGTCCAGGATAGAGCGAATGGCTCGCCTGGCCACATCCGTTGTCTCTACAATCACAGCCGAGTGGTGGTGTTCTCGTGGCCAAAGGTGGCTGCAGTCATGTCTGAAATAAGAAAATTTAAGGTTTTAGGATCAGGATAACCATTAACTCCATTCCAGACTGCTTACTATGCTGACAGGTGTGCCCAAAGAAGGGTCTGGACAATGGCAGGCGAAGGTGTGCCACAGATCCGTGCACTCCCCATTCGAATGGCAGGGATTCGGTTTGCATTGCTCCGTCGTGGACAACCGCTCTGGACATTTCCAGCTTGGTATAGCTACATTGGCACTCTGTTCATCGGGAAAGATCCATTTCCCATTGACCATGATGTCCTGCATGCAGCCCACAAAGGCCGACGGCTGGTGGGTGAGGTGGCGCAAATAGGACTTCAGATTGGGAATGGTGCCCCCAGATACGTTCGCGGGAACGAGGGCTGACTGTTATTGGCCGTCTCATAAGAGCCCACCGGAAAGATGGCCTGTCATCGTTGGCCGAAAGCACTAAATGCGATGTGTTGATGGCCACAAACACCTTGTGCCAGTTGCTATCGTTCACTTCGATCCAATGAAGACACCCTCCCACTTATTCAGTAGCGAGGAATGGAGATTCAGTCGTCCGTTGATCAGCTCCAGAATATAACTAACGGGCTCATTCTTTTCGCCCGTGGTTCCAAAGGCCAAACCCGTTTGGCAGAGTGGTCCTGAATTGCAGATTAATGTCGTAGCCCTCCTCGCGTTCCGTGGTCACCGAAATCAAACTGGTGGCCACCATGGAGAGGGTGGTGGTCTTCTCGCATTTATCACCCTGGAAACCGTTCTCACAGGTGCAGTTATACAGGTGGGTTACCTCGTTGACCAGGTAGGGCAGCAGGCACCGCCATTTAAACAAGGCTGCAAAGAAAAATTTGATAGATATATCTATAAAATAAAATAATCTCGTTAACATACATTTTTTCACAACCCTTAAGAAGAACGGAACAGTTTTTCCTCCATAGTTCGCATCACAGTCGCAGTCGTAATCATCTATCTGGTCATAACAAGTTCCCTCTGGCAAGGATTATAGCGGTCGCATTCATCTATGTTGATCTCGCAGTGGGTGCCCTCAAACCAGGTTCACACTCGCAGGTATAGGTGCCAATCTGTAGAGAAAAACAAGGTGAAATTATATGTCACGTTCATATTAGATCTATCCCTCACTTACCCCATCATTACAGCTTCCATGTTTGCTGCAGGGATTGCTATCGCATTCGTTTATGTTGATCTCACAGTTTTTGCCAATAATGCCTGGCACACAGACGCACTCATATCTAGGGATTAAATGAGATTAGTCTATGAATCGGGTTGATTAAGCTCTATATGACTCACCCGCTGGCATTCTCAAAGTGAAGGGCTGACTAAACACCTTGGGCAAATCTGTGATCCGACTCATCTGGTAAAGCGTCATGTTGGAACGCTCCAGACAGTTTCCATTGTACTGACAGGGATTACTCTCGCACTCGTTAATGTCCTCCTCGCAATTCTTGCCCTTGTAGCCCCTATGGCAATCGCAGAAGTAGTCCTTGACCTTATCCAGACACTTGGCACCATTCGTGCAGGGATTCGAGAGGCATTCGTCGATGTTCAGCTCACAATTTTCGCCTTCGTAGCCTGTGCCACTGCAATCGCACCTGAAGCCACCCAACTGATCGATGCACTGGCCTCCATTCAGACAGGGATCTCCCACACAGTCGTCTATGTCGATGTCACAGATGCGACCCGTCATTCCCGGGATGCAGTTGCAGGTGAAGTTGTTGATCTTGTCGATACAGGTGGATCCATTCGAGCAGGGATTACTGCCGCACTCATCGATGTCCACTTCGCAGTTCTCGCCCTCGTATCCTGGCTGGCAAACGCATTCGTAGGCATTGATCTAGGTGGAAATAATTATGTAGGCGTTTTAAAAGGGGGTTTTCAAAGTAAGCCTAAATTTAAACTTATCATCTATTTATTACCGAAAGCTAAAGGGTTGCTCTATAAAAATTATACATAAGAGAAAAAAATTACATGGACATTTTATAAGGACGTTAGTTCTTTTGATTAAAATGTATATACTAGGATCTTGCTATTTAATTTTTTCAACGAGCAATCTACATATTATTTGGGAGAGACTAGCTTTTTCATGTTTATAGGTATCTAATCATGGTGTCTAGAATAAAGAAAGATCTGGATATCCTAGCCAACTGACAACCATCACTCACTTGTCTCAATATCCGATGCTTTCCAATTTAAAGAAAAACAACTAATTACACTTTAGTAACAGACAAACGTTAATTTACCAAAAGGCAGATTCGGATCCGAATCCGACTGCCCTCTACCTACCTTGTTGTGGCACGTGGCGCCGTTGAGGCAGGGAAAGCTGAGCACTCGTCTACATCCGAATCGCAGTGGACACCGGTGAATCCGGGTGTGCAATAGCACTTGTACGATCCCTTCTCGTTCTTGCAGATGCCATTGCCGCAGATCTTGGATGCAGGTGCATTCGTCCACGTCGTTGCCACAAGTTCGACCAGTCCATCCTCGCGTGCACTTGCACTCGTAATCTCCATTCGGAAGTCCACACATTCACCTCCATTCTGGCAGGGTTGAGTGGCGCACTGGTTGCACACCTTGTTCTCCGGCAGAGGCACTGGTTCTGGACACATACCATCGGTTCCTGGCAGTTAAGTGGGGAGCAGCTCTCGGCCTTCTCGCAACGATCTCCAGAGTAGCCCACGGCACAGTAACAGTGGGTTCCGTTCATGGAGCAAGTGCCTCCATTCAGGCACTTGCCATTGGTGGCATTACAGTTAATGGGGGTCAGGGCCAAAGCAGACGCTCCATCGCCCGTGCTCGTTTGACAGTTGTAACCTGGGAATATTTAAAAGATTAGTATATATTGTACATTAAATAAGTTAAATTTTAAAATACTTTACTTTAAAAAATATATATTGATTATTGTAGAGATATATTCAAGTGTTTACCAATTATCAATTGTTTTCCTAGATCTACTTTTCTACATATTTACAGTTAGTCTATCAGGGGTTGCACTAAAAGTTTCTACAATACATTAGATTTAAACTAGAGTCTTGGGTAATCCGTAGTATACAAAAAAAACTATTTAAAAGACCCAAATAAAATATGTCAAGTACTCGTAAGAGTATCAAATTGAGATTATCAATATTATTTCAGATAAGATTAAAGTTATATATTTTTAAGAAGGTTTAAAGTTTTTGTCTGTTTTATTTATCAAATATAATCATATCTTAAATATATATCTTTGTATGTATTAAAGCAAAGATTCTGGCACAAAAATAGAGATAAGTGCAGAATAAATAAATTTATCTAGATTTGTTGGCGTCAACGCTTTTATTAACTGTTTCGACCAAATAGATATCATGTTAAATTTTGACCAATCATTGACCTATTTTATTTACCTACATAACAAAATCATATCTATATCTCTACTTATAAAGGGATTCAGGCAGGACTCTAGTCTCAATCAATATCAATTTAAGCCGAACAACTTCAAGGGCCATTAACCGCATGCAAATAAAACTCATTTAAGTGGATCTCCTCGTAATCGGCATGCACTCTTTTAGGACAACCCCGGACCACGGATATGTATGCCAAACCTGTGTATCCACTAGCACAAGTACAGGTATAATTGCCACTATAGCCCAGGCAGGTGCCACCGTTCAAGCAGTTTTCTTGGGGACATGCATTCAGGGAGGCCGAGCGTTGGGTGTTCGGATTGGATTGCAGTTGATGTTGATGTTGTTGTGTGGTCTTTTGCTAGCCGTGGTTGTTGCCACCGTTGCTCGAACTGTTGTTATTGGCGGTATCTTGGTGGTGGTTGTTGTTGTTAGGGTGTTTGGACTAGCTGGGATAGGGTTTGCTGTGATTCTTGTCGTTGTTGTTGGCTCTTGTTCTGGTGTCGGTGTGGTTGTTGTTGGCAGGCAATGACCAATGGGTCCTACGTTTAACACCCATTGTACAATATAAGATTGAGGCATTAGGTTATAGCGATTAAATAGGGTACTATATATACAGTTAGTGTGGATAATGACGGTGTATTATCAAATAAGCAGATGATAATGATCTTAAAACCCTTTTTTTTAGCTAGGTACTCCTCAATTCCGACGACCTACTTAGTTTTAGCTCACAACGCTTGCGTTTGAGCCACTCGGGCGATATGTAGCGCTTCTTCTTTTCGCTGGGGCACAGCGTGGAGTCGAGTAGGTCCAGCTCCAGAGGAGTCAGCGGCTCCAAATCGGAAGCTTATGTTTCCCAATTAGTTTAAAATTAAATATAAAGGAAACCAAGGCCATTAAACCCAAAGTAAGCGTATCAAAAATAATGTGTAAATGTCATGCAATGTCCATGCTATCCCCTAAACCATAAAAGATTGGAACTGTAACTCACCCGATGAGCCTGGCTTACACACGCACTTGCCGCCGACGCACTCCGAGTCGATGGGACACTGCTGGGCGCAACTGGGTGCAATTTGGCACAGTTCCCCGGTGTACTCCGGCGGACAGAGGCACTGGAAGCCGATGGCCTTGTCCAGGCAGGTTCCTCCGTTAGACATTGCTGCGTCTGACAGGTCATGGGTCGATCGCAAATCTCACCGCCCCAGCCATCCAGACACTGGCAGGTGTACCATCCATAGGTATCAAAGCATCTGCCGCCATTCAGGCACGGATTCTTGTCGCACTCATCCACATTCGTTTGGCAGAAGGCACCCGAGTAGCCGGTGCCGCTGCAGTCGCAGCTAAATCCATTAATCCTATCAATGCAGCTCCCGTTGTTCTGGCACGGCTGTGACGCACACTCATCCGTGTCCACCTCGCACCTGCACCCGCATATCCCTTGGGACACTCGCAGGCCAGCGCTCCACTTCCTCCAAGGACCACGCAGGCTCCATTGTTCAGGCAGGGATTGGTCTGGCAGAGTGGGTGAATATTCACCTCCGTTTCGCAATGCTGACCACTGTGGTTGGATCGCAGAAGCATTGGTAATCTCCGCGGAGTTCTCCAGCAAGAGCCACCGTTCTCACATGGATTCTTGGCACACGGTGATCCATTGTCCTTCTGGCAATTCTTTCCCGATATCGGGCCGTGCACCGACATTCGTAGCCCTCGGGACTGGACGAGCAGGTTCCATGGCCCATGCAGGGATCATTCAGGCAATAGTTGTCCGGCAGTCGGGTGAACAGGTCGTGATCGCTGCAGGGACCCGGAGTAAGTGGGCAGACGCCGAAGACCACGTTCTGCACCGTGGAGTTGTTCACGAACTGCAGCCCTGGTCCGTCCAGAAGACAGCCGGAGAAGGAGTTGCCCAGTATTAAGATAGCATCCTTGTAGCCGATGTCCTGGTTCGTCAGGAACTGACTGTTGTACGTGGAGTTGGCTGGGGAGGAAATTCAGAAATAAATATTATAAGTTTTGAAAACATTTAAAAGTTTAATTAAATAGAATTAGAAATACTTTGGGAACTTAAGAATCAAAATAGACTTAGTACATTTATTTTGCAAAATACACGTTTTTTTCCTTATTAATGACTTTTTCCATTTTTAATTTTTTTGGAAAAAAATTCCTAATAAGCTTTGAGCTCTTAATTCATTTTTAATGTATTCTTTTGGAACTAGCTTCTTTTGTTTCCGTTATCTAAATTACTGATGATACTAATCCCATTGTTATGCCTTCCGCGTTGAGTCCACTTTAAATATAGATTAAGCTTTTAAATCAAGTAAGCCCTTTTCTAATTCAACGCTTACTGAACTTATTGTATTCGAGTAATCACTTAATTCTATTAAATTACTTTATTTGTTTATCTATTCAGAACCTATTTCCTCTAATTATAAGCTTTCCGCACGTATTCTTCACTATTGTTTAATTGATTTTCCGAATGAGTTCATCATTACCCATTCCCCTTTCCTTTTAGCCGACACAATTGCATTGCTTAACCCTCGTGATGTGATTCACTCCTATGTGCTCTGCCTCATTTCACGATTGTCCACGGTTGACCCGATTGGGTGGGTTCTAGAGGGGTTCTCATTCCGCTAGGAATCCAATTGGGGACATACTGGGTTAGGGAACTGGGATGGTTACTCACCAAATATGCTTGCCGCACGATCCACATGCAGGTAGAGATTTCCGTACTCGTACTTGAACTGCAGCGTGTGCCAGCGGTTGTCCAGCAGTTGGTAGGGCAACTTGACATCCAGTCGGTTGTTGGGCCCATGGACCGCCGGTCCCGCCAGGGAAATTTGCAGAAAGTCATTGAGCACTGAGATTACGATGGAGTTCTTGTTGTACTGCTGGGCGAGGATCTCCCCTCCGCGGCACGAGCGGAAACTAATCGCCGAGTGGTCCCAAATGGGCATCGGCGTGGTCAGGCGGAGGTAAGTGGAGCCATTAAAGTACGCCTCCTTCGTCGGCACCGCCACTGAGGCGACATCTGCAGGAGAAGATCAAGATTGCCAGGGTTAGTGGGATTAAGACTTGCACTTGAAGAAAAATCTTTGGAAATACCAAAAGGTTTATAAAATCCAAGAATTAATAGTAATAAATTGTTACTAAAATGTAATGTATTTAAGAATGGATTCCAAAATTGATATAATAAAGCTACCCATCTAAACTAAGAATCAATGCTTAGCGAAATCATATATAACAAGTTATGAATCTTTAAAAATATTTCAACCATCTAAAAAATTATCACTCTTAACTTATAAACATTTTTATTTTCTAAAACCTAAAATGAAAGTTTATTAAAACCGGAAACTTGAAGTAATCCAGTGTAATTTTTCGCTGAATGCAACAGACTGATGGGTGAAATGAATGAAATAAAAGCATGACAAGGCCAGGTCGGTTCGGGCCAAGTCGGGCTCTCATTTAACTAATCGCATTTCATTCGCATTTGGCCAACGCATTTGTAACCGTAGTAGACTTCCTCATTTCGCGTATTTGGCACACGGCAAATGGCCAATTGGTTTACTTTGGCTTACATTTTCCCAGTGCTGTTTATTTCAGCATTTTCATTTTCGCCGCCTCTTTTTTCCATTGCTCTCCAGCTAAGAAAGTGTTTTGTCTTTCGAGTAGCATTGACCAAATTAGACGAGTTGCCGTGGCACATGCCACTTAAATGGTAATCAGTTAAAAGGCCCCCATCTCTTCAACTTTCATTTGCGCTGATCACCAAAGCGCAGAATCAATTCCCGAAGCAAAAGTAGAAAAAACAGCAGCCGCAGACCAAAAGACTCCATAACTCCATGACTTCAAGTGGTTTTCTTCAACGTTTTCAACAAACAAAAACGAAAAGATAGCAAAGCGAAATTAACTAGCTTTCTTGGACTGATTGGAGTGCACAAGGCGTTAAGATTTGCAAAAACCCAACTATGAATGTACCATATGTACATAAAAAATAAACAGGCTTGCATGTTCATAAGTTGGTTTCCTTCAATAGTCTACAGATCAAACGAAAAAACCCTACAAAAATCTAAAAACGGAAAGAAAGTGGCACAGGAAAAAGTTATTAGCGAAAGGAAATGGGAATAAAAAAAAGGGAAACTTGGGTTTTTGCACATTAATCCAATTTATGGGCAATATTCATGTAAATTAGATATTTGATGGATATAAAATAAGGAAGGTGTTTACAGGAAATGGAATATCCTATTTTTATGACCATCGCTTTTCTTATAACAATCTTATTACTTCTTAATTTATAAGATATTTTTTCAGCATTTAAAAGTCCATTAGGGTTAATAATATTATTGCACATGTCATTTGTATTATTGGTTATTCCGATTTAACAAGTGGGTGTCTTTCAAAAACATAGAAAGACCATTGTCATTTCAATGGCACTGTCCAACTTAAGGTTTATTACCAAAAACAAAATGTACGTACATATCTGTTTTCTTGTCAATAAAGTTGACACATGTGTACTTATTTTTGCACTTCCCCACACAGAGAAGAGATCGTTTTAGCACCTCCTAACTCCGGTGAACCCGTCTGTGGTCCGCTGTGCCCTTTGGGCTGCCCTGACCCATGGCTGCCACGAGCTTAGAAAGCGCTTGGGGGACCTCGACGGAACCCGAACGATGTTAAAACAACGGACAGCAAAATACAATACTTTATGAGGCCATCGATTTTGCCGCCTCTGTTTTTAAGCGGTCTTCTCAAACATTTTATTTCGTATTTAAAGGCGATTTGCTATTTGCATTGACAGTACGGTTTGGTTGTCATTTCTGTGATTATGTGTGCCAGGTGAGAAAGGGGAGTGGCAGGGGGCAGCCAAGGTGTAGTCAGTGAGCAAGTAAATAAGTCGCCAGCCAAGTAGCTCATAATTATATTATACTCACGTACGAAACTATGCAGAAAAGTATTCAAAAGTTAAACGGCAGAAATGCTATTAAAAACAACACACATGTACACCGAGAAAAACTAACATTTTCAAGATTAAAAGGAACCAAAAGTCTTTTGTATACTAATATTTGATATCTTTCAAAAAAGAAAATATGATATTAAAAATTGGAATACATGCATACTTTATATTTAAAATTAAAGAATACCAAGTACATTTTGTAGATTTCCCTTATTAAAAATGATTTTTTATTCTGTACCACCATATAAATACCTATAGAACCTGATTTATTGGCTTGCCATGCGCTTTTATATAATCTTAGCATGGACTTCTGAGATTGGCCGTAAGCAAATGGAACGGAAATTTCATAATCATAAGCACCGACAAGAATTCTATTTCTCTCTTATATGTATTTTTGCCGTTTGTTCGGTTTTCTGTTTATTATTTTTATTTCAGACATGAATGACTCGACTTTGGCTTCGAACTGGAACTGCAAAACTCTGGTTTAATTCTGCTCCAGAGAGCTGAAGAATTCTTTTTAGCGGTGCCATAAACAGTTTAATAGTTTCTTTCGTCTTTTGTCAAAAGTGAGCGTTCTGCTGGAAATGCTTTTTAAGCTTTTAATGATGTCGCGCTTGGAGTTTTTCGGGGACAAAGATTGTTTTGTGCCGGTTCTTAGACAGGGGCGTGGCCAATGGCCAAGACCTAAGATGATCTTTAAAGTATTATTGTGACAGCTTTGAGATCCTAAACTATTTTTGGAAATTTAAGTATTGTGGAAATTTCTGACTTAATCTATGTAAATGAAGGGTATACTGTAACAGTTTTAAATTTTACATAATAATAATGGGTTTGTACTTTAACAGTTCCGTGATTACGAAATATTCAACTAAATAATAACAGCAGTTTGAAAAAGGGACATTATTTAAATTATTTATTTACTTACTAAAGTCAAACGAAAAATATTTGCTTTGGGCCCCTATACTTTGGTATATCTACCAATTTAAAAGAGAAAACGCTCTGGATCTTCAATCCTCAACCAAGATAATCACTCATTTTAAGTTCCCTCATTTCAGATTTCCCATGATATTTACCAGAGGTAAGAAAAAAGTGATTTATGCAAAAAGCAGTGCGCGAAATACACGTAAAGTTTTTGCGGAAACGGGTAAGAAAGTACAACCCCAATGCGAATTCCTGTCCCGCCCACATTCACACGTCAAGTTGGCCAAAACGAGAGGCTCTCACTCGTAGACCCAGTTAGCAAAAACATTCAACCCATTGCAACACTTGCCTGCAGTGTAAAACACAACATAAGTAGATGTATGCAAATTGGCTCAGCTCGCTTTGCATCGGTTTTACCTCTGGCTTTGCCCGTGCATTTTGCATTTCGAATCTTGCACTGCATTCTGTTGGTATGACTAATCAGCGTCAGCATATGCAAAAAAAACGCAACACCAAGTGCAATACCAACGTGGAGTGTCTACGCACAGCAGAGGTCAGAATGGTAGCAGCGATAGTAAAGTCCATAGAGAAAAAAGCATTTAGAAATACAAATATAAACAACATATAATTTGGTCATTATAGATAAAATCCTATAAATAATGAACAATTCATAAGATCTATCTTTATATAGTCTTAATTAAACATTTGGTTGTCAATATAAAAATCTTGTACATTATTTGTACATATTTTATAACAATCTTCAGCTGCTTATATTATTATTTCCATGCCAGCTGTGTATACTGTTCATATTTACATCGTTAACCAATGTCACCATTTATAAAATTGTATCTCATGTGAATGAAGCTCGATTTTTTCGAATCTTTTTTAGTCTTTCCCATATGGTTTTGCTGGTATAGCTTTTGTTATTGGTGTGGAATACCTCCCCCTTTTCTCTGAGGTCCAACCCTTATCCCGAGTTGCAGTTCCAATGTTTGGCCACAAAAAAACAGGTTGCACGTTGCCAACTGGTCTAACTGAGCGGTTGCCGGAGATTGTTTTTTGCTTTTTTTTTGGCTTTCCTCACCACACAGAACAAAAATTTAATAATAATTTAAAAACATTATGTGATAATTAATATACACCTCTAAGAAAACAAAGATAAGTCTAGATTAATATACAATGATTTCAAATATTTTTTATAATATAGAAAAAATATATTTTTCCCTGTGCAACTATTCTTTTTTTTCGTTGATGCGGGCCACTCTCTGCTTTTGGTCATACTTCAATTGTTTTAAGTCAGTTAAAAGTGTATATGTGTCCATGTTGCCTCACTTGCCAACCCACACGAAAACACGTTAGTATTGTTGAATTAAATTTTTGCTCTAAATACTTTTTACTTTTTTCATTGCTTTTGTGTAACAAAACGCCCACGAAAAATTTCATTTTGCACTCGATTGTTTTGTTGTTGTTTTCTTTTTGCTTATCGGATGTTCAGAAGTTGCATAAATTACTTTTGACCGATTTTACTTTTTTCCGTTACTGTATTTAATTTGTTGACTGCAACAACAATATTTATTTTGTCTATTAAATTCGAAATTTTTTAATTGCACTTTAATTGTTGCGTTTTCGTTTTCAGTTTTCGGTGGCTGTTCGTTTTTCTCTATTAATGGAAAAGTGAAAACGTGTCGCGATTAAAATTTAATTATAGCTCGTTGATAATGCGATTATCGGAAGGGCTTAATTGCCCTTGATATATGATATATGAGTAAATGATCTTGATAAAGAAACCGAATTTAACAAGGTGTTTAATTTTTTTTGTTTTTTTTTTGCTTGCTTAGATAAATTAAGGAAATTAAAAAAGTTAAACTAATTTATGGCGGGAAACAATATTTAATTACTGAACACCAAATATGGTTATTAATTATTGAGTTCCGCTATGAAATTTTATATTTTGGAAGAATTCTAATGGGTTTTTGATATTCCATTATAAAACCTTTGTCTTTGAAATACATATGTGTATATCCATTCATTATAGCAAATAACAACATATAACAAAGATAGGGATTATCTTTGGTATAAGACTAGTTCCCCCTATGGGTTATGCCAACACTTCTCAGGTGGTTAAATGATTTCTTTGTTGCGCTCTCAGAATGCGTTTCTTCACAAGATTAGTTAGTTCCCATGTCCATCGCTCCATTCTATAACTAACACATTTTCAGCTCTTTCATGTCTGACTGCACTTTAGACCCGAAGAATATTTAGCTCTGAGCGATCATTTGTAGCAACACCTAGTTGGCGGGAAGAAAGAATCAAACGAAACTGAGATACAAATGCGTTCCCACACTAATTTCCGCTTTGGCTTCCAGGAATTGTGGTGAGGAAATATTTTTAAATATTTAAATAAAACCTCTTCTATTATACAATATGGTAACAATACAGGCGGTCAGAAGCTAATTAGTTTTCATAAATAAACGTTTCCCATGAAAGCTGCAGATTAACGGGCACAAAAAAAACCCGCACCCACTAAAAAATTCGAGTGCGTCAACATCCAACGGTTCAGGTTACTCTCATGAAATTGGCACGAAAAGAAAAAAGAAGCTAATGAAATTAAATTGGCACGAACTCCATATAAATAATGATAATGATATCTAAGCATATATCAAGGTTTGATATCAGTGTGAAAATGAATGGGAAAAGTTTGAAGACAAAGATGTACAAGATACAATGAGAAGAGCTTAAAATCAGTTCATGATCTAATTTAACTTCTTTAATTACTTAAGATGTAGTTGTTACTTAGCAATAATTAATTTTTAAAAAAACCTAAAGATATTTACAAATTTTAAACTTTCACCGTGTGAATATGCCTTCACGTACAAACAGTTAACGTTTATTCATTAAAATTTTGGTTCTGGGAACAGCAAAATGGCTCTAAAGTGAGAAGACTCCCAAAAATAAATGCCTAGAATGGAGCACACTCAAAATTAGAGTCGCTTTTTCTCTCCCCCGCTTGGCGCCGTTGTTTTTCATTTTTTAAGCCGCTTCTGCGCAGGCGCGCCTGGGAACCAGTTTTGTGGCAGTCAGTGTGTTGTTGTTGTTCCGCCGCTTTCTGTGTGTTGCCAACAAGGCGGCCCTTGTACAAATTCTGTGGGCCTGGAAAAAGGGGCGGCCCAGACCAGTTCACAAACTGGCACAAAGCAATGAACTGTTGAATAAAACAACACCGAAAACACGCCTGAGAATCTTTTCCGGTGCGTCCCCAAAGAGCAGCACCACCATCAGAACGAACCTCCAGAACCCAAAGAACCAACAGAAACCACAGCCTGAGCAAACACAGACTTTGGGAGAATAAACGCAGTATGTGGGCGTTGCACTATGGTAAGGTTTTTAAAGCAAATTAAGGGCTATGAGTAATTATGAAAGTATTTACGGAATCATTTAAGGAAGTGACTATGCACTTTAAGGAGGTGCAGCAGAATGCAAATGAAGAAGGGTTAGGGTTAAAAGATACAATAACCTGAAACTTCTAAATACAAAATCTGAACTCATATCATATTGTTTTTTATTTACTTCAAATATGAACTGTATACAATTAGTTCAGAGCCTTTTTTATTTGTTTGGTCCATTCTATTAATATTGTCACAAACAAATATTAAAACCACGCATTCTGAGCCCATTAATTGCCTTCAGAACCCATCCGTTCCGTAACTTCCCACCTCAATTACCAAACAATTTGTGTCCGATTTCAGTGCGTTAAGGCCCATGGTATCGTTGTTGGTGTGACTCAATGCTAACAATGAATTTTGTTGTTGCTGGCAGTACGCTGCGTATGCAAATAGCTATAGATAAAACGGCACTACGTGATCACCGCGATAAAGACAATCCAACAGACAGCATTGAACAACGCCCACAAATTTTAAACATTTGTTTGCATCGTAATTTTTTTGAAACCATATCAAGTAAAAGCGAAAGCTGCAATGTCTTTTGGGATTGATATTTTTTCTCCCTCATTTTCTCATATATGTGATTTCTTTTTGTACTTTGGTAAATTCCCAAGGTGTCTGGCTAATCGATGCAGTTGTTGAAAACAGGCAACGTTGCAACGTAAAAGTTTCAAGAACCATACAAAAGACTCGACTTAAATTAACCCTTTCATTTCAGATTTTCTTGATGTATAAAGGCTTAGCCTGAAAATTTAAAAGCCCTTAACTAAGCCGACAATTAGAAAAGTCTTCATACCAAATGTTCTGGCTTTATCTGTAATAGGTCCTGAGATCCAGGGTCTTAAATCATCCTGTCATTTATTACCACTTCTCTCACTGCTACTCTTCCCATTAAGTACTGAGTATTAAAAACCGCCTAACCTTTAGGGACTGGGGCAAATCAGTTCTTGTTTAGTTATACTGTGGCTATTTTTATAGGGCTGGCTAACGACTTGCACTAATGGACAACGTCAGGCAATGGTCGCGGCCGGTTGCGTAGGCCCTCGGAACATGGCCCACGGCCCATGTCACGGACGATTGCACTTTAACACTTGCCCAGGGCAAAGCACCGGACACCGGAGAACGCGGGTGTGTCCCGCACACAATTTCCATTCTCGATTTCCATCTATGTACTGGTATATTTCCATAAACTCGCGGGGTCACGTGTTGTTATCGTTAACGCAATGCAGGTAGTTTTGGTTCATTTGTGTTGTCCCTCCACTTTTCCTGCGTGTAGAGTACCTGAGCCGCGATTTTTCCCCTGAAAATGATGGATTATATTTGTTTAGGGCGGAAATTCAAAGGAAAGCCAGACAGAAACCACTCTCGAAGTGAAGATGACACTGATGATCGTCTCAGTCGGTCTCTGGATTTTATGTTGGAAGCTGTTATAAACCAGTTGCTGCGATGCCTTTTAGGGATTTCCCAAGATGGAGATGAAAATTTTCATTGTCTCTATCTTTCTTTTGTGGGTTTCCCTGTCAATCATAAACCAAAGTCAACTCATACAACGATAAAGACGGCACCCATTTATTAATTCCCCTTAAAAACTAATATTCCATCAATAAATGAATTTCCATTATAATATAATCCCTTTCCAAACCCCATGATCTTAATTCTGGTTATTACAGTAATTCAAAGAAAACGTTCTATCTTTGTATAAGGTAATCCCCAAAAACTTTGAAAGTGTATAAGAATACTGAATTTCATGATGGAAGCTGCTGTGAAACCAGTTTCTTAGATGCATATCAGGGTTTTTCCTCACTAAGATGGAAAACCTTTCTCTTACCTGCATTTATGGGTTCTCCACATTATTCATGGGAATACAATTTTAGACAAAGCTTAAAATAGAATGTAAAGTTAATTATTAACTAGAGCAATTTACAACTTTTATTTAAAGATAGAAATTCTTTACTTTTACCTGGAAGCTGTTTAAAAACTGGTTTTCGAAGTGCATTGCAGGGCTTTCTTTACTATGGGTGCTGGAAAAGTCTTTCCCTATCTCTGGCCCCTTTTTTTGTGTGTTTCTTTATCAACCTATCAACGGAATTGCGGTATTGCTGACGTTGAGTTGGCCGCGCTTTTGCAACTGTTGTACTTCACTTTCCGGCCAAAAGATAAGATTGCGAGCAACAACAGGCGGATGGTTGGCCGGTTGGCGGGTTGGAACTCAGATTGTAAATAAATAAACCAAATTTTTGAGGTCGTTTTTGCACAATCCGATGAAAAAAAGGGGGCAGACCATGCTAAGCCCCGGACAATATGTAACAGATAATTACACATAATGAGTCAGCAAGAGTTGTGAATCAATTATTATGATCATTATGCGATAAGTCTCACAGATTGCAAAGTTGTGTTTTGAAAATGCAGACAAATAAGATGTTATTACCGAAAAATCATACCTCAATCAAGAAATGCATACTTGGAAATTGGTTGTTTCCGGCTTTATTTGTTATAGAAACTTATTTTAGTGCTTAAGTTAAAAATGGGAAATAATACTGGTCAAGTTATTAAAAAATCGGTAAACAGTCATCTGTTATTAAATTCTTCATAAATAAAGTGCTTAGGTAACTTTATTCTGATTAACTACCAGCGACTAAAAGTATGCATAGGTACCATATTACTAAATATAAATTTATACGTAATCGGTGCTAATACATTTCTAAGCATTCCTTTTGTTAGCAAGATAAGACCGAACACACATCATCAAAAGTGAGAAATGAGTGGATAATTAACACAATCCAACTTCATGAGTCACTTCTTGAAGGAAAACCCGTTGAACAAGTTTTTCGGATGCCCAAAATCAATGGAAATTTAAGTTCCTTTTACCCAATATGACTTCTCCTTTGGAAGTATCCCCAAAAACACCAACATGCCCCCACTCACACACATGTGACTTGTTGCTCTTGTTTTTCACTATGAGCTTTTGAAACATCAGCAAATGTTTAATGTTCAAACTGAAGAATGCATGTGTCTCAGCAAATAACCAATTCACAGTCAAACTTCTTCAACGCAAACTTTTCTAATAAGGTTGTTTCGTTTATCTCAGATGGAAGTAACATAAAAAAAATTTGACAAAAGTTTAAAAAGATATTTAGTTTATATTTAAGGTTTAAGTTCAACATTATTAAGTATTTTAATTATTAATAAATATTAATAATATAAATTTTTTTCAAAGGCGACCAAAGTCAAAAGTTTACTAACTTTAAAAAAAATCCAAAATTGAAAGTTTAGATACTGTAGGTTATACTTTTTTTCGAATTAAAGTTCAATGCGTGGGAGTTCCACTGTAATTTTAGAGTCATGTAAACATGATATTGCTCCCGTGTCCCCGACTATTGTTCTCTCCCTGCGGAGAGCAGAATGTCCTCGGTTCTGTATCGCATCTCTCTCGCTCTCTCTGGGTTCTCTCACCTGTTGCTAAGTAAATAAGTATGAAGAGCGGTATCCATTGAGGCGACGAATAAACTGAAATGGCGCGCTTGAGCAAATGCGACGTAATTTGAGCTGCGCTTTTCGTGCGGTCTCGACTTCTAGCTGTTGTTGTTGTTTCTGCTGACGCCGCTGTTGTTGTGGCTGCTGCTGCCTTTGTTGTTGTTGTTGTTGTTAGCCGCTGTTTTTGCTGCTGCCTTGGCTGTTGTTGCTGTTGTGGCGGTGACGCATTCGCGATTATAGCCATGATCGCTGATTTGTTGGCTCAAATCGTGGCTTCGTATTGGAAAGGGCTTCGTTTGGCTTTTTCAACTATACTTTTCTATTCAAATAATACTCATTGAGCTTGTTGTTGTTAATTGCATTCTCCCTTTTCTCTCTCCTTTTTTATTCTCTGCTCCACACAAACATCCACACACACTCGCGCTTGCAATCGGCACTTGGCTTAGAACAGGTTTTTTTTTTAAGTTTTATCTCTCTTTTCGCTAGTTGTATTATTTGCACACTTTCGCACGCGACACTTTCTAGCCTGAATTTGAATATTGAGCACAGAGATTCCGCTTTGAGCCAACTAATTTGCCATTTCTTCCCAGGCCACGATTCTAAATCACGCTCACAAACACACACTCTCGCGCGCTCAGAAGACCTGGCTTAAAAGAGAGGTGTGCTGTTGTTGTTGCTGCCCTTTTGAACTGCAAGCAGCACACACACGCGCGCGCGCTCACACATTGGCCAAAACGGGGGAAAAAAGCGTTACGAGCGGGAGCGACCAACAAAAAACACGTCCGACCGGCAAGATAAATTTTCGACCGTTTGAATCGCCGATTTCCGTTTCGCCCGCTTATATATAGTCTAGTGTGACCAGTTCTTACGACGCCAATTTGCAATGTTGTTTTGGGACGCTAGTGCGGTCACATTGCTCGCCGAACGCAAATTTACAATGGGACGACTTGGCTGATTTTATCCATACAAATTATAATGAATAAAAACATTAATTATCTGACAAGTACCATTTAATATAAATAATAAGCCTTGAGCCTTACAAATGTGCTCAAATATTTGAAATATTTTTGTTATATATTTTGTAACATCATTTTGAACATGTTTTTCTCCGTCATTAATAAGGAATTTATTTTATTTTTTGTCATGAAAAATTAACTTTTCTTATCTTATTTTGTCATAACTATTTGAAATATCTTTTTCAAAATATCGTTTTATCATAGCGCGGACACAAGCCGTGTATGTTTATGTCACTTAAGTGGTGACAAGAACCGAGGTGAAATTCAAAGTTTGAAACCGTGGTGAAAGTTAAGTTGTAATTGTTTTTGAAAATTAACCGAGCAAACGAAAAATATTTATAAGCACTGACCTAATTTTATTTTTGTGTAAATTTATATTTTAGATTAGAAACAAAAGCATGTAAGAAAACCGCAAATTTTAGCTTGCAAAAATCCGCATTCCATTTACAAAGTCGAGTGCATAAATGAGTCCATAAATCAAGAAGCACGCGGATAACAAGTGCGTGCTTAATGTAAATGTAAACGCCTACAAAGCGCCGACTTATCGTTTCAAAAAGAACCCTGCATAAACAGAAACACATAAGTGAAACAAAATCGACGACATGTTTGGAGGTCTAGGTGGGACTATATAATGCCAGTAAGCCTGGTTAGTAATCACAGCAGTAGGAGAATGGCCGAAATGGAGAACTCGCAAAGTAAATCCGCATTGTTCGTGTTTGTAGTCATTCTAGGCGTTTCTTTGGGAGATTTCATGCCCCTGGAGGATATGGTCTCTCAGGAAATGATTGACCTGACGGATCTGGGCGATACTGTCTTCGGAATCCTGATGTGGAAACCACAGGCGCTTTGGTCGAGGCTCACAATGAGGAGTCCCCCAGAACCCCGAGGAATTGGGCACATACACGAAGGTGACATATTGATCCCATTGAGCTACAGGAATGCCCGATCCAACGGTACCCGTAATGGCATTTTGGCGCTGAGTTCCCGCTGGCCGGGCGGCGTTGTGCCTTACGAGATCAAAGGTCCTTTACAAGCCAGGAACTGGGAAATATCAATCATGCTTTTAATGTAAGGTTTAAAAACAAGAAATTTATGACGTAGTTACTTAAAATAATGAAATATATAATTTATTTTACCTTTTCCAGGAATACCACACCAGAACCTGTGTGCGTTTTAAGCCCAGGACCACCGAAAAGGACTACATATCGATAGGAAGTGGAAAGACCGGATGTTGGAGCAGCATCGGACGCTTGGGTGGTCGCCAGGAGGTGAACCTGCAGTCGCCCAGCTGCCTGCGAACCTACGGCACTCCGATCCACGAGCTGATGCACGCCCTGGGCTTTTTCCACGAGCAGAATCGCCACGACGCGATTCCTATGTCCAGGTGATGAGTGCCAACATTAAGCCCGCTATGATGGCCAACTTTGAGAAGTCCAGCTCCAAAACACAGTCCGGATTCGGCGTGGAGTACGACTATGGCAGTGTGATGCATTACTCGGCCACCAGCTTCACCCGGAATGGCCAGCCCACACTGAGGCGCTGCGCTCCTCCTCCGATGCCAGCCAGATGGGTCAACGACGAGGATTCTCCGCCGGAGATGTGCCAAGATCAACGCCATGTACAAGTGCAAGGTTTAGATAAAAGGAACATCCTCCCGATTTGCTACACAACCATCGGGATTCATAGACCATCAGAATATGGAATATCAGAACAAGTATTCGAGTTTGAAAGAAAAACATCCTATATCAGGCAGAACCATATCAAGATCATTGAATATTCAATTATAAATTACTGAAAGTTATCATATTTTGTATTTATTTATATAAAGCTAACTAAAGTTTAAAACTATGAGCTTACTTATGACTAGAGCGCTGGCAATTAAGGCTTTCGGCTCGTCTAAGCTCGAAAGATATTTGATATTACTTAAAGAAACTTTCTAAATATATTGTTGTATTATTAATATAGTGTTTTTTATCTTTGGCCGGCAAAAATATGTAGTTTTCTTAATAACGTGGCTAAATTTAAAAAACCAATTACAAAACACAAATCTTAACTGGAGAAATTCCTACTTGCAAAACGGAATGCAAAAGTGCTTCTATTAATAAAGTAGAACGCTAGATGGGACTGCCTATATAATGCCAGCGAGCCCGGTTAGTAATCACAGTAGTAAAAGAACTTGACAAAATGGAAAAGTCGCAAAGTAAACCAAGTTTGTTCTTGCTCCTAGTTATTTTGGGCATTACTCTTGGACATTTTAAGCCCATGGACTTAAATAAGAAATCCCATAACCCCGAGGAAAGGGAAAACTACTTCGAAGGTGACATAGTGCTCGAAGACTGGAATGCCCGATCCAACGGTATCAATGTCCGTAATGGCGTGTTGGACCTGAGTCTTCGATGGCCAGGAGGCGTTGTGCCCTACGAAATCAATGGCACATTTTTACCCAACCAGACGAAAAAATCGAAAATGCTTTTAAGGTAAGGACTGAAAAAATTCGTATTAGGGGTTGTATTGGATTTTTGCCCAAAACAACAACTTTTTTATGATTTTTTTTAAATATTTCAAATGAACATGCAAAATTTAAAAAAATTAGCCAACTATAACAAAAAAAAAATTTTAAAAATCGATTATTTATAATCCATGCAATTTAATTTACATAATTATCATGATTTTTTAAAATACTAACATAATTAAAAATTAACTTATTAATTGTTTAAAATTCTATAACATCTTTAAGGAATTTCATACCTGGACCTGCGTGCGTTTTAAGCCTAGGACCACCGAAAAGGATTACATCTCGATTGTAAATTATAAGAAAGGTTGCCTAGCCATGTTGGGCGCATTGGCGGGGTCCAGGAGGTGCATCTGGAGAGTCCGAACTGTCTCAAAGAGCCCGGTGTTCCGATCCACGAGCTGATGCACGCATTAGGCTTCTGGCACGAACAGAATCGCCACGACCGTGACTTATTTGTCAATGTGATAAAGGAAAATATTAAACCCGAAAGGCATCAAACTTCAAAAGAACACCTACAGGAAGCAACCACGTTCGGCGAGGAGTACGACTACCTTAGTGTGATGCACTACCAGGGTTACGGTTTCTCTCGGAATGAAAGCCTGCCCACGCTTGAGGCAAAGGGGTCCATCACCGGCCCTATGGGTAACCGAAATGGTTTCTCTGCCGCAGATGTGCGCAAGATCAACGCTATGTACAACTGCAATTCTCGAAGAAATGAGAACAATTTGTAACACAATATCGGTGATTAATGAATTTCTTTATGACCGACATCATCAGAATAAATATTAATACAGTAAAAATATTATTTTCACAATTTATTCCCATTCACTGAAGTAAATTAAATCGGTGGTGCCCACAAAATCACTAGGGATTTGAAATCACTTTAATGTATAATTTAGGTGTCTAAAAGTATGCAGTGAATAAGGATAGTGGTTTTTGAATGAATTAATTGTACTTTGAGCTTAAATATATAGTTGCATACTTTTAGACAGCTAAAATGAAATTTCAAAGTGCTTTCAAAACCTGAGTATTCTTGTGTGCCAAAAAAACGACGTTTCGTCTCACTACCCGGCTATAATTAAAAACTAATTACGAGATTCCAAATCTTAACTGTAAAAATTCCAACTACAATGCGGAATGCTTAAGTGTTTCTATAAATAAAGAACGCGGCTTGCTGAATGTAGCGGCGAGACTATGTAATACCTACAGGCCAGCTAGTAGAACAATTTGCTAGCATGGAAAAGTTAAAAAGAAAACTCAGTTTGCTCTTTTTCCTAGTTTTACTTATTATTTCTCGGGGAGATTCCATGCCCCGGGGGGCTATAGACTCTCTGCAAATTATTGACTTGTCTGATCTAGGAGACAACATAATTGGTAACCCGGATGTGAAAACCCCAGAAGCTTTGGTCGAGGTTTACAATAAGGAATCCCAGCAGAACCCCGAGGAATTGGGTGCCTACTTTGAAGGTGATATATTGATTCCATTGAGATACAGGAATGGAATTTTAGAGCTGAGCTACCGCTGGCCGGGAGGCGTTGTGCCATACGAGATCCAAGGTCCCTTCACAGACCAGGAGCTAAGACAAATAAATCATGCGATTCAGGTAAGGATTTAGAAAAGTCATTAGTGTGCCTACAACTCTCTTTCAGGAATTCCACACAAGGACCTGTATACGTTTTAAGCTCAGGACCACCGAGGAGGACTACATCGTGATTGGAAGTGAAAACTCTGGTTGTTGGAGCGTCCTCGGTCGTTTGGGCGGCCGTCAGAAGTTGAATCTGCAGTCGCCCAGCTGCCTGCAACAAATCGGCATCTCCATCCACGAGCTAATGCACGCCCTGGGCTTTTTACACGAGCAAAATCGCCACGAACGCGATTCCTATGTCCGGGTGATAAGTGACAACGTAAAGCCTGGGAAGATGAAGAACTTCAGGAAGTACAGTTCCAGTCAGGAGTCAGGTTTCGGCGTGGAGTACGACTATGGCAGTGTGATGCACTACTCGACCACCAGCTTCACCAGGAATGGCCAGCCCACAATGCAGGCTTTACGCGACACATCCGAGTCCAGGAAGATGGGTCAACGAAGGGGTTTCTCTGCGGAGATGTGCGCAAGATCAACGCCATGTACAAGTGCCAGGTTTAGATGAGAATTTTTTATGCTTTCGATTTGTTACACAAAAATCGTAAGTTCATGCATATCAATATTGGCAATTTAAAGCTCTTAAAATAAATATCAGAACAGAAAAAGACATTCAATTTAAAGTTACTAAAAGTAAAATACCTTATAAGTAGCTACATGTGCGCCCAAATATTCATCTTTAGCATAACCCCGATAAACTAAAAATCCTAAAGATTTACTGGAAAGCAAAACAAAACTGAGTTTATTAGTAGCCATATAAGACAGATCTATATAATAACACAAGTTCGGCGAGTAACCACATCAGTAGAAGACCTGACAACACGGAAAAGTCGCAATATACGCCCAGGTTGCTCATGCTCGTAGTTCTGTTGTGCATTTCTGTAGGTCATGCCCTGCCTTCGAGGGATATGGAAAAATTTCGTAATCCGGATGTGGAAACAGCAGGAGCTTACAGGGAGAAATCCCAGCAGAACCCCGAGGAACTGGGTAACTACTTCGAAGGTGATATATTGCTCCCAATGGGCTTCAAGAATGCCCGCAATGGCATAATTGCGCTGACTTCCCGCTGGCCGGGTGGCGTTGTGCCCTACGATATTGAGGTGACTTTACAACCCACGACTTGGACAAATTAAATAGTGCAATAAAGGTAACTATAACAATATACATACAACTTTTCAAAATAGCTTTGTGCGTACTTAGTCATTTTAATAATTTTCAAAATTTTGGAAATATAATAAGATAACTAAAATACATATTGTTCGGCCACCCCCTGAATAAGACTATAAAGTCAAAATGAACTATTAGTTTACATTATCAAATCGCTTCCAGGCATACCACAAATATACCTGCGTGCGTTTTAGGCCTAGGATCGCTGAAGAGGATTACATCGCGTTTACATCGAAAACGTTGGGATGTTATAGCTATGTCGGACGTTTGGGTGGTCGCCAGGAATTGAATCTGCAGTCACCCGACTGCCTGAAAAAGTCGGTGTTCCGCTCCACGAGATGATGCACGTTCTGGGCTTTTTTCACGAACAGAACCGTCCCGAGCGCAATTCCTATGTCCAGGTGATAAGTGACAACATTAAACCAGGGAATATGCAAAACTTCGCGTTATACAAACCCGGCATACTGACCGGATTCGGCGTGAAGTACGACTACAGCAGCGTGATGCACTACTCTGCCACAAGCTTCACAAGAATGGCGAGCCCACAATTGTGGCATTGCACGACACTCCCGAGTCCAAGCTGATGGGTCAACGAGAAGGTTTCGCTGCCGGAGATATGCGTAAGATCAACGCTATGTACAAATGCAAGGTTCGAGCTACGTCGAAGATTCGAAGACCATGAGATGTTCACTCAAAATTCAATTCTCGTTTACTGGAAAAATATGTCTATGGGTACAATAATTGATAACAAAATTAACATTCGCTTATGTGCGCCGTGTCTTGTACTGCTTCGGGAACTGTTAAGCCATCCCCATCATCTAGTGGTGCGGAAGGTTCTTGTTCGTCTCGAAGAAGAAGTTGCCCTGCATGTTGAGCTCCTTGCAGAGCGTGGAGAACCTTCGGATGGCGTTGTAGGTGCCCAGGTGACTCTCGCTTCCATCTTACACAGAGAAACACAAAGCATAACAGAAGATACTATATATACACAGCAGAGCAAGAGGCCGATCGCATGCAGGGGGTTGATTAGTAATCCGAATAATCCGCTCCAGTCAGCGGATGGTTAGTGGGGACGCGCCTTTTGGATGGTGGCCTTACCTGGGCCCGCGAAACCGGCACCCGTTGCATTCAAATCCAGGTTCATGTAGAGTGCCATATTCCCGGTGGATCCGTGGCGAGATCGATTGTTCAGAAAATCCCGTATGTGCTGGACAATCAAATCGATGGCCACTGAAAGGAAGAGAGAGTGCCATTAGTGGGGACAGCCAATTTAATAGTATCAAATCGTAATGCTGCACCTTCGTAAGCATTGCAACTCAACGTGGAACAATCCACTTACCTCGCAGCTCCTCTGGAGCTCCCCCGATCCAAGCGGTCTAGTCTAAGCCAAGGACTTACTCTAGCTCTAGTTAGTAGGGTCTATTACCTAATCGCATCTAAGCTGGGCGGCATTTTCTGTTAATTGTTTCTCTATTGTGTCTTGTGACTCGAGTAATTGTGTGCTTTACAATCTGCTGGTCGTGTACTTACAAAATGAAACACCGATTTATCATCACGTCTTGTTACGCAATTATCTGTCTTGCATTTGTATATTTGAGACTTCATTAAAGTGTTTATAGGAGACACGATTTGATAACACTAAAGTCGAAAGTTCCGACTTTTTAGATGCCCGGTACTCACAAGAAATTTAGAAAATTAAATCAAAATAAGATGGTAATAGTTCTATTGACTATTTTTTTATGGAAATCTATATTGCTTATGAACCGATTGCTTATTCGGATATATTGTAGTGATAGTTTAAGTTCTAAAAGTTTATCGAAACTGCAAGCTCTAAATTATATGATGTTTTTCTTTGTAACATAGATAGATATTACATAGAATGTTTCTAGGACATCTACAAACAAATAAATAATAATTATTGAATAGTCGAGATTAAGGAATGAGTTATTTATAGTCCGTTTATAAGATAATCAATATGTAATTGAACAACTACGCAGAAAAAAGTAATACAAATATATTATAGTTAAATTATTTACAAAATATTTTAAATACAAAAATAGTTCGGCTTATAAAAGTTTATAATGGAGCCCCTTGTTATATTAGCATCCACAGAACAGAATTTAATAAGAGTGGTTAACAAAGTATCGGGCATTGGAACATAGATACAATAGTTAGATGTGTAACATATGTGGTTTGGTGAGTAGAGTGCTTAAAACCTCGAAGGAAGTCAAATCGGGGTTGGGCACCAGGTTAGACCAAGGGATATCTTTAAACTGTAACATTTTGCTATAGGTAACTTATGTCCAGAGTTAGACTGGGATCGCAATCGCAGGTTGGGTTATCTTGATGAACAGAAACGAGCTTACATACACACTACCATGTATTGTTCAACATATGCAAGAGTAGATACTAAAGATACTTTTTAATCTTAGGACTACGTTAATCGGTTACGATGAGGAGACCAAATGAGAAGCGATGCCGGCGCTCATTAATGGACATTTGTCTTAGTGTGCTGCGCCGCCTCGGTTTTCTTTATCTTTCTTTTCAAGTTTTGGACTTTAGTTTTTGGCAATTAGTACAAGCTCAAGACGCGGCGTTAGGACGAGGAAGTGGCCGCCCCAGAAGCGAGTTTACATTGGCGTTTAGTGATCTCGCTTCATGCTAGACGCCGCCACCCTGACTGTGTTGCTGTGCTGTGCGCTGTTGGTGGTGGCGAGAATCTCCCCGATATGGTGTACAATAAGATCAATGGCAACTGCAAGAAATACAATAAAACAACAGGAACAAAACGAAAACAACCGAAAATCATAACGCAAAAGATACAATTAACAGAGATGAAGGAGAAACAAAGAGAGGGTAGAAATGTTGATAGTAGGCATATAGTACTCATATGTATGTAAACATCAAGCAGTCTATGTGATAGGGATTTCTTGTCATCAGAGGGGTTAATAGAACCAGAAACAAAAGAACCATTGCTATAACTATGGTTATTGGGGGCAACCAACTCAACGAAACACTACAAACGCTTAGAGTGTAAGAGTGTGTTTTGTGTGGACATAGAAAGTAAACTGAAATGGACAGGTGTCTGGGTGCTGCTGCCTCACCTGTGTTGTCGGCGCCTCGTGGTATGATAACGTCAGCAAACTTTTTCGTCTGAAAAAGGTAGGGTTTATAAATTACTGTTTATGGAAAATTTAATAATGGCGAAACTTACAGGCGAGCAGAATTCCTCGAAAGCGGGCTTTACGAAGGTCATGTACTGGGTGAGAACGGCGTCCAAGTCCCGACCACGTTCGTTGATATCGCGTGGCACTAATAGGATTTTTATTATATTGCTTACTTGGAACCAAGAGAAATCACCACTTACCTCTCCTGGCCAATCTGGTATCCGAGTCTGTGTCCACAAATAGCTTCATGTGGAAAAGGTCGCGTATCTTGGGAAAGTAAAAGACCAGAATGCCCTCGAATAAGACCACATCGGCTGGTAGATAACCAGCACGTTTTCAAAGTCCCTAAGGGGTTAGTTATAGTAAGAAAGTGAGAATATATTAATAACGTAATGGAATAAAAGAGTCTATGACTAATTTGGTTTCACTTATTACTCTTAATGGACCAATTAACTGATTACCGTGGCAGTTTTAATGGAGGTGACAGGGAACGAGTACTAGGGAATTTTTAAAGGTGTATTTAACATTAATTATTCATTCATTAGAGCTACTCTTTCCATAAGTTTTTAGGATCTACATCTAGAACCTAAGCTTCACTCATAATACAATGGATCTAATAAGCTGCGATAAAATATACTAAGCACATTTTCCTACAGTTGGATTATATATGTAATGGGACTCACAGCGAATTGGTGCGGTAGTCGTAGCTGGGGATCTCAACTTGTGGCCCTTCAGGATGTTCTGCAGCGTGCTGAACATGAGTTCCTCGTTGAAAGCATCCGGATGGTCAAAGTTGAAGAGACCCTTCTGGGCCTTGGCCTTCTCGGCGGGGGTGAGTTCACGGTAGAAGCTATCCTGACTGATGGAGACCACCTGGCGCTGCGTGTGATCCATTTCCGCCTGACCCAGCTGCTCCATAATCTTCTTGCAGACCGTCGACTTGCCGCTGGCCGTTCCGCCGGCCACACCGATCAGGAACGGGGACTTTACCTCATCGTTGCCAGCGGCTCCGTCGCCATTCGGCAGTCGCAGGGAGTCGACTCTCCGTAAGTCCTGCATTTTCCCGTGGCAAATTGTAAAATAAAAGATATTTTCACACAACAAAACAGCTGATTAGGTTAGAGATGGGCTGACCACGATGGTATCGGTATGTTGAGCATCATATCGTAACTCTTGTTATCGGTATTCCGGAAGTGCAGTGTTGCCACTTGGGACAAGAAGAGACAAATGGCCGTTATTTCAAATTAAACCGTGATATTTTGTAAGAAAGTAAGATATATGAATCATTATACAACTATTAGCCAAATTACATACATATATAGAAGACCACGCTAAACCATCATGTACCTTACTCTTGCTGACGCCGGCGCGTAGAGATTTGAAAACAATTTACCAACGCATTGGAATTGGAAATATTTGCACAGCTTGGCTTTTTGTTTCGATGAATGAGAATGCTTTTTGTACTTTTATTTGCATAGTAACTGTTTCTCTATTAGCAACCTGCTGACGGTCATATGTCAGTGTCTTTTCAAAGCCCAACCATGAAGGCTGCTTTAGATCTCAGCCCCTGGAAAAGGTTTTACTGGCTGCTCCTCAGTGTCTTGCTAACTTCTGGACTGAAATCCTGTCGGGCAGTTCCCATTGTTGGTGGTCGGATCGTGTCAACCGTGGGCAGTACATCATTAAATTCTCTAACTTGGACTACTAACTGAATGCTCTTGAATTCCATTTAAAGGCAGCACAAGTAAATATCCCTTCATGGTCTCGTTGCAAGATGTTATGAAGGGAAATACCACGAATGGAGTTTCCTATCAACACTTTTGCGGTGGCAGCCTGATAAGCGATCGTTGGATTCTGTCCGCAGCTCACTGCGTTTGGAGGAAGTTGGTATTGAGCCTCTAAGAAATTTCTCATTTCGAGCTTCTGTCTATTTTTTAGGAACATTCACAATATTGCTGCCTTCATTGGCTATGAGAATATTGAAAACATTGAGCAGCTGGAACCATATGGTCTGCAAAGCGCCGAGTATATTTACTTCCAACCGTGAGTAATCAGTTGAGTCAAGTTTAATACTCCCCTCCAAAAGAGATTTGGAGATTACTATAAAGGGAAATTGACTCAACAAGTGATTTGCTCTGTATCAAAAAGAGAAAAAACTTCTTGAAGAATTGTTTCTTGTTTCTTGAGTAAACATTAAATGTTTTACAAAATCGAATGATATTTTTTAATGCAGATCGAACTTTCGGAATGATATAGCTTTGCTTTACATGAGACGTCGCTACTGGAGTCTTTCGAGCAATGGCCTACAGTTCGCGCAACTGCCTCCCCAAGGAATGAAACCAGACCAAAATGGTATAATTCACCCGCTACAAATTTAGCATGATATCTAATTCTTTAATCTCCTAGAATCCTGTCGCATTATGGGTATGGAGCCACAAAGCATGCTGGACCATGCCAAAAGAAACTTTTCGAGGCCGAAGTTCGGGTGATTGATAATCAAAAGTGTCGGGATATTATAGGACATATCTGGGCGCCACAGAATGGAGCGAATACGGTGTGTGCCCTGGGCAACAATCAGGACTCGTGTCAGGGAGATTCGGGGTAAAAACGAATACAGAAGTTACACATCATGATTGCTAATTAAATATTTCGGTCTTGTAGTGGTCCCCTGATCTGTCCTTATGGAGGCAAGGACTATATCTATGGCCTGGTGTCCCACGGACTCACCTGCGGCATCCCAGGAATGCCCAGCATTTACACAGTGACCAGACCCTATTACGATTGGGTCCAACTGCTGATGCAGTCCTAGATCTCTGCTGATCACGTATAAATAGTATATTTATTATGCGATATCAAACAGAAAAACAGTTATGAATATACATACTTAAATAATGCAGGAATAGCACGGACTATCAACGAACTTAGGCTAAAGTACTGTAGGTATATATAATATTACATAAGACTAACTAAAAAAATAACCGTTTTCACGATGCGATTTATCAGTCTGTCTTTTGTTTTTGTTTTTATAAGTAGTCATAAAAAACTACGCTTAACTGTAGAGAAAAATTTCATTTTAACTTTAAATTGCTTTGGCTATAATCAGATACTTCAAATTTGTTATAAGGTAGGTTCATAAACAGGAATTTGAAATAGCAACAAACAGCCTGAGGTGTATATGATTTCTAAAACCCATTTGATGTATTAGTTTAACAATTAAAAATGGTTTGATCTGAATTCTGAACTGATAAATCAAGTCGTGAAAATGGGACTTAACCTAGATGCGAGGCCGTCTCCTTCAATCACTGTTTCTCGGGCTGCTCTGCCGGAGCGGAGACCTGGGTGTTATCCACCTTGTCGGAGAGCTTCCCCGTTCCCGTTTCCGGAAGTGTGAGGGTCAGGAGGCCAGCTACTAGAACGCAGCAGCCGCAGATCGTTGTTGGAATGTACCAGCCGAGGGCTCCCAGGCAATCGACCACATAGGGGGCCGAAATGGAGCCCACATGGGCGAAGGTCGAGCAGGTTCCCAGAGCAGAGTTGCGAATCTCGGTGGGATACAGCTCGGCTGTGTATAGAGTAACCACGGAGTAGGTGGCGCTAATGCCGAAACGACCCAGCATGGCAAAGGCCACGATCCAGGTGGTGCTTCCTGCGGGTACGGAGAGGACGAGCAGCAGGGATACACCTGTCCAGAGGAATAGGAGCATGGTGGTGAGCCGACGACCGGCGAATCGAAGCATTACAACCGGCACCAGATAGGAGGGTATGTCCACCAGCCCAGTGCCTATGATGTACAGATACCTCGACACCGACATATTGGCGGCATTGAGAGCTAAAGGGATTGGATATATTGTATATATAAGTATTATATATTTAGATAGCCTTCCTCATAGACAACTCACCCGTCACGTAGTAACTCAGCGAACAAACGCAGAACATGAAGTACGACGCAAATATCATCTTGCGCACACTGGGATTGCCATACAGCTCAATGATGGACTTCAGAGGACCGTTCTTAAGTTTATCCCCCCAGGAGAAACCCACTTTCGGTTCCAGCTGCAATGGTAAAATATATATATTCCATAAGCTCTCTGCTTGGCAACTAGAATTATATATTTATATGGAACTTTGCACTCACCGACTTCTTATCGGTGCCGATTGGAGAAGAGGCTGCAACGGCGGGCTGAATTTGGTAGTGGCTGGGCTGTCTGAAGAGAATCTTGTAGACGCGATCGTATCTTTGGTTCGCGATCAGCCACCGGGGTGATTCATTCATCAGGCTAAAAATTGGGAATTTTATATCTCATAGGATCTCACATAACTTTAATAAACTTACTAGCAGTTTAGGATGAGCAGCAGGGAGGGAATGGTGAGGGCCAATTGCAGATGCCTCCAGGGTTGGATGATGTAGCCCATTACTGCCAGGATGATCATGCCCACGGGATAGGAGGCTGAGAAGGCAATCGACATCCAGGAACGATGCTTCAAGCAGACGTTCTCTACGACTAAGAAAACAAATAAATATGTGTTACTAATAATATGTCAAATTATGGTACTATCACTCCATGAGGTATTTCGTTAGTACATGATAAATGTAATCCTTCTATTGGAATACATTTTCCATAGTTACTTACAACTTAGATTGTCACAATAGTATAGAAACTTACTCATGGTAAAGGCAGGGTAGAAAATACCAGATGAAGCTGCTCCCAGTGCGAAACGTCCTGCCAGGAAGATACTATACCAGGGCGAGAAGGTGCAGAAGAAACTACCCACTACAAAGAAGACAGCTCCGAGGGTAAAAGAGGTTTTGCGACCAAATCTGCAAAAAACCATTTATCAGTAAATAAGATAACACAGTAAAGGACATTTTTCAACCCACTTGTCGGCCAGTATGCCAAAGGAAAAGGATCCACAAAACTTTCCCAACGATAATGAAACCTGGGCAGAGGTCCGTTGGATGCTTCTGTCGCAGGTGAGATCCCAGTCCGAGACGAAGGTGCTCTCCGGGTTGGCGAACTCATGGCGACCCTTGACCTTGCAGGATACCTCAACAGGCAGGGAAATTTCATTCAAGTGAGTGGTGTAGTTAAGGGCTGCCTCGTAGGACATCTTTGCCAATGACCATAGTTCCAGTCCCACACGGTGCATCCGCCCGATTCCAAACCCTTTCCGGAAATCTCCCGCTTCTGTGACAACGTCCAGTTGGTGTCCTGCAGATCCGTAATACCACACCACTGATCATCGGGCAGGTGACCCAACAATGTGTAGGAGGACACATGGAATCCATTCAATATATTCGGAGTTACACACAGAAAGAAAATGGCCCTGAGGAGAGAAGTACAACATTACAATAAGTTATTTGCCAGTTAGGTAAATTTCACTTTACTGCTAATTGGGATTTTGTTTTCAGATAAAATATATTTCGTTTCCGGACAAATTGTTTACAGCACGCAACTCCAATTGGTCGCACATTGACACCGCTTGGCTAACTGATCGTTGGAATGCAAATAATTACGTTGATCAAAACATCGGAGTAAAAACAAAGCTGTGAAGGCTATAATTTGTGGGTGATATATTATGGTTATATATGCTGCTCACATAATCACCTAATGGCAGTTAAAGATTCGGCAGAGCAGTGTCGTAAATCATCAAACAAATCGGGTAACCGGAACGCAGTGCGCAATATTTACATATCCGACTTTTTCACGTGACTCCCCCACCCACAAAGCACGTAGATCGTAAAAATTCAAGTCACTGTATATGATTTCGGGGGTAAATGTTTTAGTGTAGGACTTCCTCCAGTGACTCAGTTGAATGACTTCCAGTGCACATGTCCTCCAGCCAGAGATCGTACTAGATAGGAATCATTACAATCCCGATCTGGGTAATGGAACCGGTACTCGTACCGATTTCACGATCCCACATCGCCCGGTTTTAATTCACATGTCTTATCACTTACGATTAAGCCTAATGGAAACGTATGTATTACTACACATATATATATGCGCTGATATGCCAGATTTCCATTCTATATATAAATCCTATACCGGGCGATCGCTCATATGACCGTTGCCCCTCGATTGGAACCCAACTGGGTGAGTCTTCGATCCCGGCCTAAAATTAACATCAGGAAGCCCCTCTGCAATTAGCTAACTTTTAAAAACATACCTTATCGAACTGTGGCAAAAAGTTAATTGATCTTAGGTCTTGAATTTAATTGTGGTGAGTAGTTCGCGGTTAAAATAGGGTTTTAGCTCACACTCACGCCCAATCAAGCGGAAAAACTAATTAAATCAATCAAATTACGAGGAGAAAAGTGCACCACCCTGAGTAATGTCAACAATTTCTAAAAAACTCAACCTTTAAAAGCTAGCACACTGCATTTACTATGAAGTGGGTCAAGTGGAACGTGATTCGAGTCGAGCTAAAAAACGACTTCCTCAACTTTGAGCGAATTATGGCAGAAATATGATTACTACTTTTCGCACTGAGACAGTAATCTGAATAGAATCGCCAAAATTTAGATTACAGGCTGATTCAAAATCTACATAACTTTTTAGAAAGGATTATTTTTAAATTTGCCTAGTTATATCTTGGCATACAATTCTCAAATTTGTTGAAAACTAAAAAAAAAGCAAATTGATAATACCCTATGCAGGGTTTGAAAATAACCATTTTTAAACGTTTAGATATATCCTCTAGAAGATTATTCTAATTTTAAAGGTATTTCGAGTAGAAAGCCCAAAAAAAAGGATAATTATATCCTTGTTTGAAACTAGATTTTATTTAATCCTTAAATCCTTACCACACAAAGGCTCCTCCACTGCCCACGATTTCCAGCTGCTTGGTAAGCAAATCCTTCATGCTTTCCTCGCTGATCGTTTCGCGACTCTTCTCCGGATTCTCCTTCGATTGAGTCATGTTGGAAAATGCAATATCACAGCTACTCGCGGTACTCAAAATTCGAAATCACGCCTTCGAAGATGATAAAGATGATGATGTGGATGTGGATGTGGATGTGGATGATGATGATGTTATGTGCGGCAGACGACTGACCCCACGCAAACGAATCTTGCAGATTGCGGTGAGGTTTGCGTTTCTGACAATGAACTTGGATTCCTTGGCTGTGCAATCTATTTTTGATATTGTGCAAAAACAGTGCTATGGATTATGGTATTCCGAATTTGTTTCGGATCTTAGCTTGGGAACCTAAATCGAGGATCCGTTGGGTGCATTCACTCAAAGCGATGGAGATAAGGCCCGCCGTCAGATATATATTCACTTTCACTTTCGCCCTCGTAATATTTTCGGGGGGTTCTGTTGTCGTTCCTTCGGTGGCTGTTTATCTATCGGCTAGTTCTATTTTCTGTTTATGTTTTTTCAACTGGTAATGCAGCACATGGGAGCTTTGACGGACAGCGACACGTTTTTTTTTTGTATTTTGTTTTTAGTATTCCGTTGTTGTTTTCGGTATAAAAATTTCCCTCAAGTTAAAATAAACATGAAAATGAAATGAAATATTTTCGGGGGGGATTCTCTTTATTTTTTGGGTGCTGCAACGCGTGCAGTTGCGTTTTCCTCCGGTTTTCACCGATGTTGCTATCAACTACTTGTCGCTTCGGAAGCGTCTCACAAACTAAGCCCACGGGAGGCCGATCGCAGCGTTTTGTATGCCGTTCCATTGGGGGATTGGGGGGCTTTAGAAGGAGGCGCAGCGGTACTAACATCGCACTCGGTCAGTGCCTCAGTACCGCCGCCTCTGTGATTCACTCGCTCGGGATCGCTCGGCTCTTCCCGATCCAAATACTCGGGGCACATTTATGTTGATTCTTTTTTGGATTCGAGTGCAAGCATTAACAAAAAATGTAAAAAAGCAAAATTAAAAACATTCATAGAGCGTCTGAAGAGCGATTCGATTCTTAGCGAGTGTCAAAAAGCGAGCACTCTACAAATAACCAAGGAAAGCTCTGATTTTTCGACTATGCTTCGACTAATTTAATAATTTGAAAACAAAACAATTACCCAAAATGTGTGTATTTGTCAGCAGCTGCTGTTGTCAAATTTCCAGAATATAACGTATAATTAGACTTAAAATTTGGGTATTTATTTTTCCTGACAAATTACTGTTCATTGCACAGATGACTTGGGATTATAGCATTGGTAAAAAATTTGTATTTTTAAGGTACTTCTCGTAAATCTCTCTTGAACACTAAAAAATAATTATTTTTTTTATATTTGTACCCCCTTTAAAGGGAAACTTTTTAAAATTTGTTAGGTTGTTCATAAATTATTTACTAAACGGCTTTAGTACTCCTCGAAAAAGAGTACAAACAAAAAATGCCTCATTATAAATGCGTCGGACAACATGGAAACATTTAAATACACTCCCGAGCACTTGAACATATGGCCGTGTGGTCGTACCCTCGCCCAAATCCCTTACATTCCATTACACTGGCGGTACCCGAACCTCATGATATATTTACATTAACAGGCCGTTTAATTCTGTTGTCTCTGAATTTCATTACAATTTTCCCATTCGCTTTGGTGATATTCGAGAGTCGGGTATTGTTTACATTTTTGTTCTCGAGTTGCGCTATTCGAAATTCCCAAAGAGCAATCGGTTAGAAATTGAAAGAGCGCACTTTTAAATGGGATTGTTGTAAACAATGTAGAAAAATTGCTTTCTCATAATTTGATATTCTCTTGGCGATCTTGTGAATGAATCCAGAAATAGAGTTTCGTGTTCAAAACCAACTTGAACCAGAAGTCTGAATCGGGAGGATGAAATAGAACCAGATTTCTACGCAGTGACCGAACCAAGTGATTCGATTAAGGTTAACCTGCGTTATCGGCGAACATCGAGAGTCCTCAACTCTGGCCAAGATCAATTGAACTCAATGAATCGATCGACGTCAATATCTTAACTACTAACCCTGCGGAAAAAGATAGAGATTGACATTGAAGGGTGGGCTGGTATGGGATAGTCTGTGATGGGATTGTGGCATATATTCCCTATATTCCATTTATGAATCTCTTTGTTATCGCAATCTAATTTTAGCCTTGCCGCAATTGTTGTTCACTTGTTCGGCTTTATTCGCTTCCCAGGCGCATTCTGTTCAACTGTGAAAATGGCCCGAGACTTAGCTGTTCTAACGGTTCTAGTTCTATGTACTAGTATTATTCTAGTACTCTAGCCGTAATTAGAGCTTTATGTATGTATGTTCATGCACTTGGGCGTGCCTCCATTAGAAATTCAATTGTCGGTAGTTTGGGTTGGACCCCCGTATTAGTTTTTGATTAGGCTTCTATTGTTTACCGGCCGCACGTGCACTTTCCTACGGTTATGTATTATTCGTCAACGGGGTGGTGACTTTAAGAACTATGGGTGGTCACAGTTCCGATTTATTTTATACATACATGCCGACACATTCGCTTGCAGGCCACTTGGGTCAATCCATTCAGTGCTAATCTAATAATAGCCACCTCATCTGCATAATCGCCAAGAATTCTTTATAATGTGATAAGCTTTGTCATAAAAAGATATATGGCAATTTAAGGAGATGTCAGGCCTAATTTAGAAACAGCTCAGAGAAAAATGCACACAGAAGAAAAATGGCAAGCATAAACACTTTTTTTAATGGTTATAACATTGTAAATTTTCATGTCATATTTTCCATACAATGTTGCAAGACTTTTATGAGAACAAATTCGACTTGGAAGACGGGCCCTTATAGAAAATATTTATGAGACTTTGTGTTATTTGACAGCACAGCTTTTATGTCGATGTGGCTAAAAAAAAGTGAATTCCTCACATATAATATTTAAATTGAATTTATCGCTGGCATTGAGTTATGTTAATTTTCATAAAACCAAAACTGTCTAAATAATTGAAGGATTTTCCCCGAGGCCAACCAAGTAAACATGATCTGTATTATAATGTATTCTAAACTACTTAATTGTGCACTAAATTCCTCTCGATACCTTACCCCCCACATATGAAAACCTTTGAGATGATAATTCCTACTTATAACGACAGCACAATTTAGCCAGTCAGGCGTTGGCGATGCTTAAGTGAATGATTGCCGACGAAACGAGACGGGAATTGTGCACAAATTCGTAGAAATCTAGGCGTTGCAAAACTCACTAAATTCAATGAGGGCATTTAAGACATGCTTTAAGAGCCACTCGACCTGAGATGCGAGACTAAGCCCCAGACAAAAGCCGTGGGTGACAAGGTCGTCTTCGAAAACAGACACTTTAATTTCTATAGAGACTTGGGTAATCCCTACGAGGACGACCTGGCGTAGCCAAAGTTCAACAGCCAGATGAGTCCGAGTACAAAGAGGCTGTAGAAGGTCACGTTGTAGAGATTGAGACGGCTGAGGAGTCCCCTGATTCTGCCCGAGGTGCGGGCACCTTCCTGGGGTTCTTCGGCCTCTCATCCAGCATATCCTTCCAGCTGACCACCTGGGGTCGGACCACAAAGAGGGCATTCACCGCCGCCCGGAAGCCACTCTGCACCGCTCCACCCATCAGACTGCGATAGCTGGTGCCCACGGCGGAGGAACTTGACCAGATGACCCGGTGCCAGGGCTTCGTTTGCGGCTTGTGGAGCGCCTCATTGAGCTCATCGGTGGAGCACTGACACTCCAAAGGTTCTCGCATCTCCTCGCCAAAATGGCTGGCCAGCAGATTCATCACCTCCTCCAGAACCTCGTCCTGATCCTCTGGTGAGTGCAGCATGTAGCCACAGAAGGTGGACGTCCGGCATTCGTGTCCACTGACCAGCGGCTGGGAGCTGAGAAAGTTCCCAGAGTAACCAAGATCTGACCAAAAGGATTTGGCATATCGAAAATGGAACTGACTGATTAGACGGCGGGTTGGATTTTTCCCAGCTTTGGTGGCCATTGGGGGAAGAAAAGCCCTCGGAATGCGGGGTTCGAACTCCAATTTCTGCACTTTGTTCCAGGGTATAGCTAGGATCACAGCCTGGGCCGTGTGATTGTTCCCCAGATTATCCGTGACCTGGGCATAGTTCTTGAAGTGTTCCACTTTCACCGCCTTACAGTTTAGCATAATCTTGGTGAACTGCATCTGCTCCAAGATGTTCTCTATAAGCATTTGCGTGGGGATCTCGTAGAAACTGCTCGGGTAGGTGAAGTAGCTAGAGATGAGGCGAGTAATTAGAATTTTATAGGGTAAATTAAGTTCAGTAATGAAAAACTAACTAAGGGGTGGGAAAATGAATGTTTGATGGGGTACATTAACTGCACTGATGTAAAGATCTTTGCCATCTAATCAATCAAAGCCAGGTTATAACTGATCTATATACAATTTATGGGAATTCTAAGCGTTTAGTAACTGAGAAAAGTGACACATACGTGATCTATAAAAGTTAACTATTTCAAACTGGGCAATCAATCATTTTGAGGGGTAGTTTTTTATGTGGCCTAATTACTAGACGTGCTCTATTTTATAATTTTTTTTGTTAGCAAGTGTTCTATATTCAACAAATTGCTGCTATATTTTTAATTACTGGCTTTTAAATATTCTTAATGCGGTTATTAACCCTTTGTTTCGTAAAGTTATGACATGCATATTACACTGTGTTTATCAGGTGTAGACAGAAAAAACTGGAAATGTAGGACAGCTGGAACTCACAGTTAAAAGTATAATATGTGGAATCATTTATTACATTACATAAGTCTTGCGGTTGTGATTAAAAATGATTAAGTGATCAAAATTGTTAAATATATTGAATATTATTAAACTTATTTCTCATATACTATCACCTAGTTTTAACTTATCTATAACTAAGCTTATCTTAAGCAGCTTAAATTTCGTTTGGTAAATAGTAGATATGTTTTTTCTTACAAGTCGATAAGCATTTTGAGGCCTCCACAAGAACTGCAGACGGACATAAAGACATCGTAGTCCACCTCATTGGCAGGAACCCCGCAGACCAGTTCCACCAGGTTGAGCATAAAGTTCCGAGATTTGTTGAAGAACAAATGATGGCGGATATGCTGATCCATGTTGGAGACTCGCTCCCGGAGGCTAAGAAATAGATCGTAACTTAGTGTAGATTTAATATGATGATTTACCTCAACGCACTTGAACCGTTTCGAGCGAAACTTGGACATCCGCAGGTCCAGCATTTCGATATATCGTCCCAGCTCGAACTTGGCTGGCAGAGCGGTGAGTCCTCTGTCCAGATCCCAGCACCTTCGCATCCTGCCATTGTCGTACCTTCTCCGCCGGGGCGACAACTGGATGAGGGTCAGAAAGGAGAGCATATCCTGCTGGGCGGCGTCCACCAGTCGTGTGTTATTCTGTCCCAACTGGCCACCCAGAACCCCGCTCGCCTCGATGATCCTCACCTTCAGGGTACTCTCCATGGATAGGATCTTGAGGGCGGATGCCAGACCAGAGAGACCCGCGCCCACAATCAGTACGTCCAGTTCCGGAATCTGTGTTCCGAAGGGCAAATCCATAGCCAGTGAAAAATGTTAATTGTCATTTTATATACCCGAATTAAGGTGAATACTCCCGCCAAGATAGTTTGACATGTTCGGCACAGTTTGAGAAGGTTGCTCTGTGAAATGAGGCATACTTTTGGGCTTAACGTTCTTGTTATTTTTA